CTGAAAATAGAATTATTGTCCCATATCATGGGGACAACCCCAATACTAGAAATGGCGCGCGCTTACGGTCTCCGTCCCCGATTATGGCTCCTGTATAGAGAGAAATTCGCATAAATTAAAAATTACCGCACTTATCAAGAATGTTCAAAAGAATGCTAAAAGTGCTAAAATTAAAGTTTGTTTAAAAGAATGTTTTATTGTCTCGGGAGTGGGCATGAGTAACTATCAGCCTCAACAGTTTTTGCCGTGTGGCATGATAAGACACTAAAAGTTGTTACATTTTATGAATATTTTAAGAATAAACTCAAGGCCGAGATTATGAAAAGAATATAAGTTTTTGTGTTGTAAATACAATACAATTATATGTTTTGAACTAAACTGTATAAAAATTATTCCTTCCCTAAATGGCAAAACCAGCCAAAACACAACAAAAACAACACTAGTTGTATGTTCGATACAATAATATTTCTGCAAGAAGTTATGTGTGTTTTACGAGGCTTTATTGCCAGCATGTCCAGCTCAAAATTTACTTCATTTTAAAACAAATAAAGAAGCCTAAGCCGTGTATTACACTGTGATAAACCACGACGGGCATTTGAGAACACGAGGGTAATGTAGAAAACATTTCTACATTTCTCGAGTGTTCTCATATGTCCGGAGTGTTTTATCACAGTGTAATACTGGATCTCCCAAAATTGAAGGTTTTCTGATTTCAAGTTTTTGTTTATTTTTGTCATGACAATGTCGATTTTCAAAGGCAAAATTGTTATCCGAAATCGATATTCTGATGTAACGTTCACGTAGATCAAAGGAACGGCTACTTAAGGAGGCTGGAAATAGTTTTCAGCACTTTTCCATCAGCTAAGCTTTAACGGATCAATAGTATTAGCGTTTATCAAGTAATGCTACAACATTGGTACGGCATAAATTCCCAGCCGTTGTTGAGTTGAGCGGTCGTTATTCTGGCATCCATATCGTCACATTGTCTCGTGTCTTAGCAACTACCTATATATACCCAAATATCTTAATCAATAAACCGATGTGTTACTCTGAGCCATTGTAATGCGCGGCGCCTTATAAAATGCAAAATTAATGCTACTTACTGTTCCTCTTGCAGATCTACAAAAAAGCCTGGAAACAGATGGGGACCACATTTACTTGGCTGTGAAAATAAGGGCTAATTATAGTTTGAGATAAGAATTACAATTTGAAACAAGCACACTTGAGCTGGTGCATAAGTTAGTTCAGGTTACTGAATAAAACCGAAAATAATAACATTCATTTGTCCAACGTTTTATTCTTGTTAAAGTTTCTTCAACTTCTCGAACGCATTTGCCACGTGACTACGACGACGACCATTCTGTGTTCTAATTCGATAACCGATAACTTGATTGTCAACCAGCTACATCCCTCTGAACTGGGCCTGGAGGTGATCTTCTTGAAACTAATCTCACCGAGGCAATTGCCTTTCTGCAGTTGTCTCCCGGGGAGAGACTCCCATATAAAAAGGACGGGGGCGCTTGTTGGAAATTTTGAAAAAAAACAAAAAAAGAAAAAAACCTAAGAAGTACCAAAATCCTGTTTTGTGGGCGTAGCTTGAAATTTTTTCACCCCTAAAAGGTACCAATTCTGAAACAACACACTATCTCTCGTCGCATTTTGTCGGCTCAAATACCCTAGAAGGTACTGCAAATGTTAATATTTTTAAGCTGAACACGCTAAGAGGTACCAAAACCGCGTTTTTAAACCCTACAAGGTGCCACGAGCACCCCCGTCCTTTACATATGGGAGTCTCATGTGCATTTTATTGGCTTAAAACCTTTCGGAAACCGTTCAAAATCCTGCAAGATTCTTCGAAAACAACCCTTTGGCACATTCGTTGAAAACTGTGCCTGGTTGTATGAGAAAGAAAGATAGATACTCAAAAACATATCCAAACGATGTCACATCATGTCGAAGCCCGTGGGAAAACGAATCTGCATGTCCTACGTTTTGACTTCGTAGCGGTCAGCGGTGGGAGATCGTAGAGGTTCGTAGCGCCATATTTCTGCTAAACTCGACGCTCGAATTTGTTTTGCTCGAAATGTGATATTCAATGAAAGGATAACAATGTTAGCCTGTGAAAGGCAGTTATTTTCATTAAAACTCGCGTTCCAAAGGCGAAAATCGATTATTCAATCTCGACTTACTAACCTAGCTTGCTCGAGCCGTACTGTGGAATATTGGCCCCGGTCGTTTTTGTACGGAACTCGCTGCGCTCGGTCCTTTCTACCACGTCCTCCCCAGGGGGGCCCTCGAGTTCGGTTAGTAAGAGGGTAGTATTTATTTTGGTCAGTACTTGCTTTGATGAAGTATGAAACTCTTCATGGTTCAATTCTGACGTTATTCCGTCTGATCCGACGAATGTTTGCTCAGTTGTATCGATTATTACTTTTATGATAACATCTCATTCTTGACGATGACAAACGCACAAAACAAAAAGTTGTTTAATCATAAGGAGCAAGGAAATGGCTAAAATAGGGTCTAAACGCATTTTATTGTTGTCCATTGTTCACTACTAGTTTCGATTTTCAAGTAACTTGACGTTTTGGTGTGAAAAAAGTACACAAAACGAAAAAAACCCATCTTTCATTGGATTATGGACAGAGTTATCGCAAACAATTTTGCCAGAAATGTCAGTAGTGAACTTAAGTTATTCAAAACGATGGGTTTGTGTTCAACGGTGAAAAGGTAGAGACAAGATCAGATTCTTCTTTAAGGTTTGGATATGAAGATCACCATTTCAGGTGGGCGGTTCGATGTGTCCAAAACTTCAGGTAGCAGATACAGGTACGGTCGCGTTCAAGCAATTATATTTCGCCTTCTCGATGTCACCCGCTTCGAATTCAAATAAAGTGAAAAAGTTCTTACACCATTCCACAGCATATCTTAAGTGTATGTTTACACGAATGCACACACTATTAATCGAGATTTGCTTGAATTCATTCACTTTGCAATGCAAAAAAATATAATTCTTCAATGATAACATAGATCTGCAAGTGATTTCTATCATCAAATCCAGTTAAGTAGGGGAACTGATTTTTTAGTAGCGAAGCTTTTAGTGTTTTCTGTTCTATTTCCATTGGTATCGAACAAGACGCGAAGCACCAGAACCGAAATACTGATCGCGACGGAACAGAAATTTGTGAAAAAATGTTTACAGTCACCAGTGACTGCACTAGCGAGTATCTGTGTTTGCTAGATTGTTGCGATCAAATTTGTGAGAATATTCTGGATCTCTATTACTTCTTTGAAGAAATATCAATCTACAAGAAAAATGGAACAGAACTGTGTGGTGGGTAACTGTTCCTCATCCACAGTGCAATGAGGTGACTGTGTTTGTGTTTGTTTTTGGTCAGCAGATCTGTTTTCAAATCTAATTCTAGTACAACTATGCCAGGAATATATTTTTATGCCGTTAAAGACCCAATATTAACACACTTGAAGGTGAGCGGATAATTAGATTACCTCCATAATATCAAGTTTTTGGACTCGGATTTTGTAGAAGAAGTATTCCTACGGATGGAATTAATGCATTGTATTTCTGAGTAAATATCAACTGAGCTGGCGTTAACTTTTGGGCAGCGATTTATTTTAAACAGCGACTCAATTATTTTTTGTTTATCGTCAAAAAAAGATAAAGAGTGATTCACGCCTTTGGTTTGTTTGAAATTGCCTTACAGCAATTGACAGAATAAAAAGCTTCATCCTATTGGACAAATCCACGGCTAAACAAACCGTCGTGCATAGATGGCTAATAGCATTGCGTGTTAGAAAAATAACTAAAAATGTACCTAACACATTGGGTGTTTCACAGACTTGTTCTGACGAGAACCACGCTAAACAAACCGAGGAAGAGAGAAAAAGTGTGGTTGGAAAATTCGCTGAGTGTTAATTGATTTAGAACTTAGTTTCCTAGCTCGGAGAAATCAGCGATCTAAGTTTCAATTCTATTACTATTTTTTGATTTAATTTTTTTTTTACTGGTGTTAACGATAAACCTAACGTCAGTTATTTTGTTCTACTGTTTAGCTTTCTGTGCACGCTCATAAGACGAGACCCAGAGACTAAATCAACCCAAAGGTAAATGATCTAGTGTTAACTGAGAAGCCTGCATGTCGCTAAAATAGTACGTCACCAGAAAAGGGGGGAAAAACACTCTAAATTCGTGCTAACGATTCTGAAAATATAAATAAATTGATTTGCAGACAGCATTTTGCGAAAACAGGCGACGAGTGCACTTTTATGCTACATGATTTAGCGGCCGTCAGCTATAGATTTCTAATATTTCAAAAAGAGTAAAGTTATGTTCACATACATGTATGTATTTATTTTACATGTTAAGGATTCTCCTTCAACGTCTTCAGAGTGTTAAAGTTATTTTTGCTGCAGAATTGAAACGTATGCTTCCGACGTAATTAACTTTAATTTTGTCAAATATACTTATCGTTCACATTATTGAGTAGGTCTGTAGTAGTCATATACGCTTGTTGGGGCAGTAACCAATCAGCGTGCAGGGATCATACCACGTGACCACTATTTTCCCATACATTCTCTTAAATTTGTAAATCCAAGATGGCCGATATTCGCGAAACCTGGCGCATGCGCAGATGGGACAACCTGAAATCGAGGTTGTGACGCGCATGTCCAAATAAGGAGATAGCCAATTCATGAGATCGAGGTTGTCCCGTGCATGAAATCGAGGTTCGGATGGGAATAAAAGGGTTTGCGTGAGTGTC